TCTAGGGACACTGTGCGCCCACCTGCTTGCTGGAAGCTCCACAGTTCTCCAAGTGCAGCCAGAATGGGGAGGCGGATGTAGATGCCTCAAATCCGCTTATGCACTTCACTGCACCCGGAAGCCTGGAGGGTCTCGGACAGTTTGGGCTTGGGGCAGAGTGCACTGAGCACTTATCGCAGGCCGCGGGGCCTCTGGAACCTGTGATGCTTGCCTGCTTGCTGAGATATCCACAGTCCTCCAGACACACGGGGAGGCGGATGCAGGTGCCTCAGATCCGCCCAGCACCATCACAGATGGTGCGGTGCAGGAGTCCCAAATAGGCTAATAGGCTGGGCTCCGGGCATAGGTGCGTGCCTGCCTGCTTGTTGGAAACTCCACAGTTCTCCAAATGCAGCCGGAATCATTTTATGGTTTTCAATACTGCAAGTTTGGAAATTGTACTCATCTTTCTTTGAATGTTGCAATTCTCCAATTAATTTTTTTGTCTTTTTATTTAGTTTTAAGTTATTTCCACAGTTCTTGCATCTAGTTCTTTCTCACATTTCATTTTTTAGATGTCTTGTTTTGGTTTTTTATATTTTGACATCCTTGAGAGTAGAATAGCATGTTATATTTTGACTAGTGTATTTTTTTCTTTTAACATCATAGTTTAGTTGGCAGTATTTTAAATTTCTTGTTGGTATATGTACAACTTGAAAAATCATACATATGTTGAATTAGGTTATAAAATGTAGTTCTTTTCTTGGCTGTATTTAATCTCAGCCATTGCAGTGATTATATTTGAACTTTAGCATTCTAGTAAATTCTTCTTAAAATTTATCCTTTTGTCACTTTTCTTAGAATTCTAATCTCTTATATCTCTGCAATTTTAAACTAATATTTTGATTTGCTTTGTTTGAAATTCTAATTCTCCTTTATTTTGATTTTTTTGCATATTTTTTATTTCTGTTTGTGAAAACATGGCAGACAAATGTCAACTCTGCTTTGCAGAAAACAAGATAATCTGCTTTGAAATTAACCTTATACTTCATTTGCCTACAGACAACGTGCTATATATGAAAAATTACTAATCAAAATACAAGTATTAGACACTGAAAAATTAACAGTTTATTGTGATTTATTTTGTTTAACAATCTAGGAAGTTTGCAGTCATCAGCAGTTCAGGTGTGATAGGAAATCGGGGAATCTTGGTGGAGCTATTAGTGTAGTGAACCTTGTAGGTAAAATACATGCAGACTTTCGAAAACACATATGAAGGAATCTCTTTAATTGACTTCATTGGTTTTATTGTCAGCAAACTGATTTGAGCCACTCAACATTTTTTGTTGGTGTTGTTTTTTAAGGCAGGTCCCTATGCAGTTCAGGCTGGGCTTGAGCTCATTTTGTAGCCTAGGTCTGGAACTCACAATGATCCTCCTGTCTCAGCCTCCCAAGTGCTGGGATTACATTTGTGAGCCACCACGCCCGGCTTCAACATGGCTTTTATTGTTCCTGATGTAAGTGCATGTTCTCTTTACAATAAATTCGTGACCATCGGAAGATACCAGTTTGACATAGCATCAGGGCTTCACAGGCCTCCCTCCATAGGTTTTCTCCTCTCCATCCATTATGTTCTTAATTAATTCCACTTTGGTTTCACAGGAACTTTAGCAGTTTCTCATGGGCATCACAGTGACCACAGCCAAGTCTCTCCCTACAGCCGCAGCCTCTACTCCATGGCCGCCCCCCTACCGCAGCTGCCTGTCCATGTGTGTTCTGGGGGGCAGTCCTAACTCCTTCATAGTGGTTTCCATACACTTGCTTCAACAGCTCATATACTAAAGTCATCGTGGTTTCTTTGCCTTATGTTATTTATAATGCCTTTTTTTTCTGTTTGTTTGTATTTTTCTGTCTTTTTTGGTTTTTTGAAATTATTCTCATGGTGTGGTTTAGGCTAGCCTTTAATTGGCTGTGTAGCCCAAGCTGTCCTTGAATATGTGGTGATCTTCCGTAGCCTTCCAGTGCTGGAATTACTGATGCATGCCACCACACTGCCCAAACACTGGATGCTTTTAGGTTTGTTGTTATCTGAGAGCTCTGTATTACCTAAGCAGATCCAAGGTGTTTATGCTGTCTTCTGCTTAGAACTTCAGGAGTCTGATCATGCAGGAGCAATTTTTAGTGTAATTTTCAGTTTAGGTGCTCCTAGACTGAATGGTAGTACAGATTTAGACTTTGTTTTAGTTACTTTGTCAGTGCTGAGATAAAATATCCAACATCCAAAATTAGAAAAAGAAAGAGTTTATTGTATTTCAGTTTGCAGAGATTTTGGTTTCATAGTTGACTGACTCCAAGACAAGGTGGCATGGCGGAGTGCTGTTGCAGACACAGTACATGGCAAAGCAAGGCCCGCAGAAGGTACCAGGCAGTCAGTGACAAGCAGTGACAACAGCAGCCCTCATTCTGTCTAGGCTACCTGCCCTCAGGGCAAGTAGCACTCAAACCTCAGATGGGACAGCCTTAATCCTAGTACCACACACTTGAACCCAGCCACCTCTGGAAAAACTCCACCTGTGACTGCATGAGACTCTGGGGGACATCTAGACATAAGCCATGACAGACTTTACACCTATAAAGAGGTACTGTGCTCCTACATGGTTCTTTCATTGGGGGGGCGGAGGGAGAATACTTCTCAGAATCTAGACAGAGATAGGATTTTCTATAGTGTACTCATAATGGTGAATGGAATTTTTTTTCTCGTCTGCACTGCAAAGGTTCTTCCTTCCAAGCATCTTGGCTGCAGTTTATGTGTGGTTATTAATAATAAAGCAGAATCTTTCAGGACTATACATTGAACTTCGTATGCATAGCAATGGCATCTCAAGGTCTTTCCCACCCTTACCTTTAGTTCCTTTTCCCCTTAAAGTCCCAGATTTGTTTTCCTTCCTTTCTTGTGATGTGAGATCTTTATTAACTAATTTTTTAAATAGATCTTTTTAGAATTTCCAGTTTATAGCAATTCATAGACCTGAGCAAAAAAGTAAAGTTTCCATATATACAGTTTCCCATTACTGTGTATTAGTGTGATTCATTTGTTGCAGTTAATGAACCATTACTGTATCAGTAAGTCCATACTTTCACCTCCTTCATTGTACAGTCCAGTTCAAGGAGATTTGACAAATCCTTAGTGTCCACTGTGTACTATCACAATCTCATACAGAACAGTTTAACTGCCCAGCGGTTCTCTGTGCTTCACCTGTTCATCCTGTCTAACTTGCAAACTCCTGGCGGCTGCAGGTCATTTCACTGTCTTTGTTGTTTGGCCCTTTGCAGAATGTCATGGTGTTAAAATTGTGCAATCTATTGTGTTTACAGACTAGCCTTTTCACTTAGTAGTATCATGTAAGATTCCTTCATACCTTTTCATGACTTGCTGACTTCTTTTTATTGCTGAATAATATTTCATCTTAGGGATATACCAAATTTCTTTGTCCATTCATATATTGAAAGATACCTTGTTTTAGGTGATTGTGAGTAAAGCTGCTAATAACATTCATGGTTAGGTGTTTGCATGACCATAAGTTTGCGACTCAACTTACCATCAAGGAGCATAGTTGCTAGGTCATATGTAAAACTGCCCTTACTCTTAGTCATAGTCTAACAGCGGGACATATTGTATAAAATTGGAGCCATGAAGGAATAGCCATAATACATATCTGCTGTTATAGGACCATTATGTTTTGTATTATGCTTTTGCTGAAGTTACTTTTTGAAAAATATTTTTTGGATTTTGGACCTAACTATTGTAAAACATTTTTATGCCATTGGGTGTATTGTAATTGACAAACTTTGTGGTTTTAATGCTAAAATATGACAGTTACTTAGAAATATTAGTGATTTATAGGTATAAACAAATCATTTAAAATGAGGCTTATACTAGAAAATAATTTTTGTATTTTATTCTTAAGATATTAACATCTTTCAGTCTTTCTGTATTCTAAAAGGATGTTTTTCTTTTTTTGTTGTTTTTTTTTGTACCAGGGATTGAACTCATGACCTCACACTTGCCAGGCAGGCATTTATGCCACTGAGCTAAATCCCTGGCCCTCCTCTTTAAAAAAAAAAAAATTTTTTTTTATATTTACTGCAATTAATTTGAAAGACAGAAGATAATATAAAAGAGATGTTTAAAATGTCCCTCAATTCATCCCTGAGAGAACCAAAGTTTTCCTAGCATTTGGTGTTATACATTAAGGCTATTGTGTGTGTGTGTGTGTGTGTGTGTGTGTGTGTGTGTGTGTGTGTATGTGTGTGTGTGTTTAGTGAAACAGTACTGGGGATTGAACCTAGGGAGTGCTGAGCTATATCCCCAGTCCTTGGTATTTCCTTTTGAGACAGTTTCTGTCATGCTGACCTCAAACTTGTGACCCTCCTAGCTCAGTCTCCCATGTAATTGTGATTATAGATATGCACCACTATGCCTGGCTAGCACATGTGTCCAAACTGTTTTCTCCTCTACATTTTCCTTTTTAATAGTAGTTTAGACAGTTTCCCATATATATATATATACATATATATGTATATATATATATCCACACACATATGTATATATACACACACATATGTGTATATATATGTATATATATATATTTTTTTTTTTCTTTGATTACCAGGAAAGGGAGGAAAAAGATCTTGAGTCCATAATTACGAATGTAGGGTTCATGTAAGCCACAGGGACAAAGCACACACTTTCGTCCGAGATGCTACTTTGCCTTTTTCCATATCCTTTATTTCTGTTTTATATGTTAACATGAATATGTTTTTAGGGAAGAAATGAATATTATGAATTGACTGTGTTAATTTGCTCAATAACTTACTAGGATTATAATGTCTAAAGGATATGGTTAACCCTTCTTTCCTTATAATCTTTCATCAAATTGTAAGCTTTTAATTAACTGATTTAGATTATGTGCAGAATAAATAATTCATTAATTTTTAAAGCTAAGGACTTTTCCTTTTAGACTCCTTTCTGCGAAACCGTTCAAGCTCTGACCATGAAGCCACAGCCATGATGAAAGCTCAGTTTATGAGTCTCTGGGATGGACTGGACACTGATCACAGTTGCCAGGTATTTCAACAAAACTTGTGTTGGCCCAAATTTGCATTGTTTTTATTAGTACAAGGTTTAGTGGACTACTTATACTTTTGTATGAAGTTCTTTCTCATGATTTTTACATTTATCATTAATTGATGAGGTTCCAAAAGAGTACAGTTTGTATAAATTATCCATTTTGAGGGCTTCATGTTCAATAAAACACCAGTAGATGGCCTGTATGTTTGAAATAGATGCAATGAAAGAGAGGAAACCAGAATCAGGCCAGTCCTCAGGCTGAGAACCACTACGCCAAGAAAGAGGAAGTGACTAGTCTCTGAGGGTATTCTGTATGTGATATCTTTCTCTTTGATTTTTTTATCTTTTACTCTTAGCATATCTTTACTCTCAGTCTTCATGCCTCTTTATTTTCATTTTATTGTGTTCATTAGTTACATTCCTTCCTTAGGATTCTACTTTTATGCAAAATAGCTATTTTAGTTTTGGATCTTCCCTCTACAAGGCTGTGAAAATCTCATCTAAGTTCTCTTATAATATCCCCAAAGAAAGCCAGCATTTCTAATTTTACTCTTTGGCTTCTCACTTTCACTGACTGAACCTCCGAATATTCCTTACTTTGTTACCAGCTCATTGCTGTATTTTGAAAGAACATTTAATATTGATTTGGCATGTTTATTTTCTGTCATATTATTGGAAATACAAACCCTAAAACTACTTTTCTGTTTTTTATCATGAACTACTTGCAAATGTTGATAGTCCCTTGTCTTAGTCTTAGGAGATATTTTTTATTTTGTAATCTTTCTTTGCTCTATAAATGTAATATATCAAGAATCGCCTCTCTTCTTAACCACTTTTTTTTCAGTGATGGGATGGAACCCCAGAACCATGCACGTATTACAAATCCAGTTCTTTCATCACTGTTTAATAATTCAGACATGTTAATTTAGTTACTGGTTTTTATCTCCTATTGGTATTTTTGGGACCTTATTTATATTCTGTGTCTTTTCTTTCATAGTTTCTTTGTAATGTGTTCTAGGTAATTTCTTTCTCTCTTTTTTCAGTTTGATAATTCTGTGTTCATTTGGATCTCTTCTGTTTGTTATAAATGGAAACATTGAATTACTTACTGCAATTATTTTTCAGTTCTAGCAATTCTTTGAGATGGTTTTCTTGTCTACCAGATCCATTGTATCAGATACTTGCTGGTTACTTATGTTTCTGATTAGATTAGAAATCAAAGTCCTGGCATTTGTTGACCTTGGCTACATTTCGTAATTGCTATAAATCTGTGTAGAGGAACTAATATCTTTAAAAAGGCAGAATATTATCCACTTCAGAATAATTGGAAAGAATCAGTCTGAGTGAAGTGCTTATAAAAATATCTGGCATATATTTAGTTCATAATGCTTTGCTGTGTGTGCTTCTGTTTAGTTTTTCATTTGTTCCTTTAAATATGCTAACGTAACTTTTTTATAGTTTGTAGTCAGTAATTCTAATGTGACTTTTCATTTAGTTTTGTCATTTGTTTGAGTTTATAGTGTGTGTTTTTATGATTTAATGGAAAACTTATATTTGGCAGAACTTTACTTGTGAATTCTTTATATCTTGTTTTGGAGGTTTATTTCCTAAGGAAATTTTGTATTTGTCTTCTGCCAGATTTTTTTCCAACACAAATAGGTAAATACAGGTCCAAGACGCATCCATGATGGGTGACTGTAGATATTAAATCTCAGGAGTTTTGTGTGATGATGGTTCCCACCTCATAAGGCCTTTGTCTGCTGAATGGGTTTTCTAACATATTACCACTTCACAGTGGACAGTACTTCACGAGGCCTTGCTTTATGTAGCATGCTGCTCATCAGGCTTCCTGATGACCTGCAAGGTGTTTAGAACACACCTTACTTTCTAGGATCTGTGCATGTCTACATGGAGGTAGTCATTGTTTATCCTTGCTTCTTCTTATATATAAGTTTTACTGCTACTTTTCCCATAATTCTTTTATTTGCAGACATGTAGATAAATCTCTTTGATTTTTAAAAAAATACTTCTTTATTTTTACATGTTTGGTTGTCAACAGATTTGAGTGTTACAAAAATCAAAGTCTGAATCGCATGATTCTCAAGAAGAAAATAAAGCCACATGACCTTCTCCTACATCACTTTTATGAAAGTACAGTTTTGTTGTGAGAAAGCCTTTAGCTTTGTTGAATGTTTAGATGTAAATTTAGGTGACGTTAACAGAAACACTTTCTGTTAATCATTGGTTCTGATAAATCTGTAAATCTGTGTGATTTATCAATGGAATTTACAAGTTGCCAAAAAGTATCTTCTTGAGCCACAATATTTAAAGTATTTACACAGAACCAGTTAGCTGTTCTCTAAAATTATCTTATTTTTTTTTTCAATGCATAGAATTGAACCCAGAGCATGTTGTGCTGTGTCAGCAGTTTTCCAACTTGTCTTTTTTTTCCTCTAGTGAGACAGAATCTGAATAAATGGCCAAGCTGGCCTTGAGCTTTCAGTTCTACTGCCTCGGCTACTCAAGTAGTAAACCTATCTTTTTTGTGATTATTGATGGGGCTCGAAACCCTAGCTAGCTTTCCTTGTGATTATAGTCACACAACAAACAAACATAGTGAATGATGCAATGAAACCATCACCACTACCAGAAAACTGAGTAACCAATGATACCGAACTCACGACCTCATGCTTGCTTGGCAGGTGCTTATGCCGCTGAGCTAAATCCCCACTCCTCAATGATATATTGTTTACCTTGAAACAGGAGACATGAAAGCTAACAATGTTTTTGGGGTACTCATTTAAAAAGTTAATGTTTTAAGGGATACATTTATATCTAATGGTTTTAAATGGAAAATGATAGAATTTGGGGGGAGTGAATCCAGGGATTGACTGATGCTAGGCATGTGATATACCACTGAGTTACATCCTAGCCCTTTTTATCTTTTCATTTGGAGGTAGAATTTTGCAAAAGTGGCTAGGAGTTCAAGCACTGCATAAATGATAAAATTTATCTTCATGGTTTATTTAAGAATTTTAAAGAATATTTAATAGCTATTATCTAGGTAATACATTACTTTTTGTAGTTTATTTACCATTTTGAATTTTAGTTCAATTGTACAATGTGCTAAATAGAATTAATGAATGTGCACTAAATAGAACTCATAGTACTAATAAAATATATGTGTAAAGATGCTGTTTTTCCCCTTAAAAATCATTCCTTAACCTTTTGCACTTAACTGAAACTACAGGTAATTTGAATCACTCTTGCTTTTTCATCGTGAATACCTTTTCTTATCCTGTATGTATTCATTGGATCATGTTAGGCTAGATTTTGATGTTACTTTTTAGCATTCATCTCCCATACTTTTCATTTTTTAATTTTTGTTTTAGGCTGTTTTTGAAATCTATAGTATTTCTCAAAATGTAGTCCATTTTTCAGGTTTTTTTTCAAATGCTGCCTCAGCCACAGTGCCTTTTGAGATCTCTATAAGTAAGTGAATATGGGCAGTATTTAATAGCCTTCCCTATTACTTTTGAATTTCTCTTTTAACAATGTATTAAAAGATCCTTATTTTCTCATTCTTTGTCTCATGCAGCTCATCCATTTTATCATTTGCATCTGGCATGTTTTACATTCGGTAGAAATTTTCACAAAAATTTTATTAAGTTATAGGAAGACAATAACAAGAAATGAGTATAAGCACTTTAATTCTCGGACCACTTAATTCAACTACAGAATTACATATTTTGTAGAACTAACATTTCTCAAGTTTGTATTTGTACTTATTTATTTTTCCTCTAGATACCAAACTCAGTAGCTTGTTGCTGATGCTATTAAATCTCATTAAATGTAAAGAGTAGAAGTAGAATGTAAGATTTTACAGCTAATTAGTTTGCTTTGGAGTTAATAGTTCAGGAATTTAAAACTTCAGGCAAAAATAATGTTAGAGAAATGTTTCCAGTTTCCAACTTCTTTCCAGTAATACTAATGAATTTCATTTTGGATAGCAGATGTGTGCTGTTACTGAATTATACTGAAGTACTGATGTCCTTCAGAAATGTACTTCTTTTTTACTTAAGGTCTCAAATATGCTAGGCAAGTACATGCTTCCCCAGCTTCCTACAAGCATTTTGATATTTGCTTTTAGTCTCTTGCCATTGTTTAAAGTTGGATTGCTGATAATACAATGAGATAATGTGAAAGCTAGAGAATAATACATGCTATATTAATATATGTATATTTATGTAATACTTTGTATACATGGAGATTATGTATTTATATGTATACATTACATATTTGCAGTTGAGTGATATATACTTTAGTTACTGGAAGTGGCGTGAAATGCATTGATCTTTCCAGATTGCTTTTATTTAAGATTACCTTCAATTTTATCTATAATTATTTGAGTAATACTTGAATAAAATCAAAATGTCTCATAAAAGATTTAGTTTAGAAGTCACCTGATTTTCCTTATCTTCTAAGTCCTAGTTATAATGACCTCAGGATTACTGGTAGATTCAATACCTTGTGTTATCTTTCTGTGTTTAGGTCATAGTGATGGGAGCTACTAATCGTCCTCAGGACCTTGACTCTGCAATAATGAGAAGAATGCCTACAAGATTTCATATCAACCAACCTGTAGGTGGTTTTGACTGTATTGTTGACAATTAAATGTTTGTCTTTTTAACAGGTCATTGTCTGTGATTTTAAAGAAGGGAATGTTTTATTTCATAGGATTCATTTATGACAAACAGGAAAGGAATTAGGGTATATAATCAATATGTTACATTTATAGCAATTTAGAGGAGTTTTTAGTGTGTTATTTTCAGATTTTGGAATACATATTTTTATTTCCATGTATAATCTTTGCCTAAAAATCATTTGTCCCATTGATATTTTGTAACTTAGATCAACTGTGCCAATAAACATGACATCCTAAGTTAATGGTGATGGCCTCTATAAAATTACCCTGATGAGCTATTTGCTATAGCTGCAACCTGTGGTTCCTCTAAGGGTACTCATACTTAAAATAATTGTATTTGAAAATTACCTGATAAATTAATAAGATTTCTTAATATAAGAGATCATAAGTTTTATTTAGCGTAGTTAGTATTTATTGAGCAATTATATGTGTTAGATACTTGCTAGGCTTCTGTGAGTAGAACATGGCTCTTGTTCTTCCAGCTGTGTTACAGGAAAGCTGACAAATGTAAAAGGTGCTTTACAAAGGTAAATCTGGAGAACTGTCAGAGCCTGTGATGTTGACAGAAATACTAATTCTGTCTGTGGTCCCTGGTATTCACAGAATCTACTTGAGCATGGAACAGTAATAGGAGTTTGACAGGCAAATGAGATAAGGAGAAGCTTTCCTAAAGGGAATGCAGTGTGGAGGCACATTTTAATGGGTAAGTTTCAGGGTTAGTTTAGTTAGGCCATCAAGGAAGACAGAGATGAGGCTAAAAAGGTACACTGCTACCTAGTTTAGAGGAACTTGGTATTCTTTGCACAAGAATTTACATTTTGTAAGTATGATTGTAGGACATTTTTTTTGGTACCAGGGATCGAACTCATGACCTCATGCTTGCCAGGCAGGTGATTATGCCACTGAGCTAAATCCCTAGCCTTTAGGACATTTTAAAGACAATTAGTTTATCTCAGTTTATTTGAAACTCAAAATGAATGATCTTTATCAGTAATTTATTTGTGTTCTAATAGACTACTAAGATTTATCGATGTACAGTGGTATAGATCCCAGGATGCAAGATGGAAAAATAGCTTTTGTTAAAGTTGTAAATTTAATATATTGTGTTTTAGCAAAATGAGTTGTAGTACATTTCATCAAATTTGTGATAAATTTATATGCAGTTAATATAGAAACTAGAATTTTGTTACTTTGTTTTCATTCTCATTTTAATGAATGCACACAAATATTGTAGGAAAATTTTTTCTTATGTAACAACAATGTCAGTTTGTATTATTAATCTTACCTTAAAACACTTTTCTAAGTAAAATACTTACTAATAAAAGTGCTTATTGGTGATCCCACAGCATACAATTTAACCTTCCTACTAAATATATTTGAATTATGGAGACATGTTTAGTTTTGTTTTTCAGGTAATTTGGTTTGATACTCATAACCAACTTGTCAGTGGTTATAGGAAGAATGATGTCAACCATGATAATTTAAAAACTGTCCATACTTACTGTATATATAAGGTAGTCTACAAAAGTTAAATGTAGTTTCTAACTTCAGGTATATTAATATGAAAATTAAAACCCTAAATAGAAATTCTAATATTTTTAAGCATAAAAGTTATATGTCAAAATGAAGGAATTGAAAATTTATTGTTATTTTGTCTTTCAGGTACCGGTAAAAAAATCTTATAGAAATTGTAACTTGTATAAATTTAATAAGTGAAAAAAAATGAAAATCGTAGAGCTATATTGGGAAGACATTGTATTCTTAGTTGTTTCATTCATTCACTTAATAAACATTAAGGGCGTACTATTTCCCAGTCACCATAAGAATCAATGGTGATAGTAAGAATTTTAATTTGAGGCAGGATTGGTGATACACACCTATAAACTCAGCTACATGATAGATTGAGGTGGGATGATCATGAGTTTGAGGCAAACCACGCTTAGTAGGATAATCACTAATGATTACTCTAGAATCTCAGATTAGAACCTTGCTTTGACCTGTCATAGTGTTATTGTTTCATATAGGTATCATCAGGTAGCTTAGAAGAGAAACAACAGTAGGAAAGCAAGGTGATCCTTATTTAAAAAAAAATACTAACTGGAAGATATTCTGGTTTTAGGCACTAAAACAAAGAGAAGCAATCTTGAAGCTTATCTTGAAAAATGAAAATGTAAGTAGAAAATTACACTTTTTTTCCCACATGGCTGTATGTTTATGTTTCTAGAATCATTTTAGAGAGAATGAAAAGAGGACTCTCCAAATGATACAGGGGAATGAAACTCCCGACCTATATCCAGTATGAATTCGTGTTCTCTAAAATTGAAGAATGAATTTTAGGAACAACAGAAGGTTGAAAGAAAGAAAGCTTCTGTCTGAGAGAGACAGATTGGTCCCGAGTGGGTTGCCTGGGACTCTGTCCTTTCTAGGCTTTTATAGAGTAAAATCATGGGGTGAGATGGGTTGAAGGTGGGGAAAATTGGGAACTCACAAGGCAGATGGGCATAAGGTGGGACAGAACCATGGTTAGCCAGTAAGATTAACTGTTAAGGTAAAATTGATTAAGTTGAGGACAAATGGGGAAGCAAGTCACATAGAAAGCTGGCATTCTCTTGAGAGCAGTGACTCTTCCCTAGGAGGCTGGGATGGTGACTCCAGACTTCCTCAGGATGACAAGGAGCTATTTAGAATATCAGTCCTTACGGTATGGGTGCATTTGTTTGATCTTTTGTCATAAGACCTGGCAGGAGGTGTCTGTCTCCCCAACGGTTACAAGGTATCTGGGCTTCTGCACTGGCCCCTTTGAGGACCTAGCCCTGTCTAACTGCCTGTCATATTTCTAGCTAACTCAGCTGCCTGCAACAATCAGAACAAGTATCTTTGAATTTCACCTAAACTATACAACTTTTGGCTGCTCATTTAACTATGATTTGAACTAGCTAAATTATTTTTGTCTGTTTTTAAAGTTGTATGTTATATGGGGATTGAACTCATGACCTTGTGTTTGCCAAGCAGGCAATTACGCCACTGAGGTAAACCCCGGCCTTTTATTTTGTATCTTTAGATTAAAATATTCTTGTTACTTTTCAGAGCCATCTATGCTTATATAAGAATACTTACTTTGATGAAGAAGTGGGTATTTTTGTGTTTTAACTTAATTGCAGTGTTTTTATTGTTGGAATTTAGATTTAAGAACAAATAATCAGAATCTTCAATAGCTTTTGTGTTGAAAGGTTTTTTAAAAATGAATTATCTAGTCACATGGTTCAAATTTTTAAATACATATATTAAATACTATGAAGGGAAAAGTCTCTTTATCCCTGTATTTCTTTAATCTTTTTGATTGGCATTATGCCTATAGCAGGAAATTAGAACATACTGTTATTCCTGTCCCCTTTTTTTTGCATAAGCAGGGCATACTATTCTGTGTCTTGAGTTTCACTTATTGTTAAAATCTTTCCCTCTTACCATATCTTTTCCTTAGCTTGGAAGGGAGCCGTGCTTACCACTATACCGCCAATGCAGTGGACAGCTTCTTCCTTTTGTTTTTTCTCTGCACTGCATAGAATCCCTTTGTGTAGCTGTACTGTAACTCATTAAATGTAAGCCTTTCATTATTATAAAACTGCTGTATTGAATGATCTTGTATGTGCATAATTTCATAGGAATGTCATTAGGGTGAATTTTCGAGAAGAAAAATTGCTAGATCCAAGAACAGGATATTTATACTTCGGTATCGTTCGTAAATTGTCCATGCCCATTTGCCAGCAGTAGTGGACTATATTTCTTCTCTTCCTATGGATTTTGATAATCTTTTTGTTTTTTGAGACAAAGTCTTGCTGTCTCATTCAAGTGACTTTTAACTCACTGTGTAGCCAGGCTGAACTTGAACTTGCTGCATCTCCTACCTGAGCCTCCTGAAGCTGGGCGAATAGGTGTCCACCACCACATCCAGCTCCTTAAGGAATTTTGTGACAACAGGATAAGCAGTCTTTAGAGTTGAAATGAGTATTAATATATGTTTTTAGAGTTTAAAATTTTTTTCTGTGAAATTCTTGTGTTCTTAGTCCATTTTTCTATTATAGTTCCTTTTTAAAAAAATAAACATTTATAGGAACTATGTGTATAAAGAGACTTATTCTTTATATGATTTAAAAATATTTTTTCCTAATTTGCATTTTATTTTGATTGGGAATTTTTCCCTCACATGTGGCTTTTGTGTTTTAAATATAAATTAAAAGCTATTTTTCTGTTCTCAAGTTTATAAAAATGCTTCCCGTATTTTCTAAGCTCTTGTTACCTTTTCTAAAACTGGAATGGAATGTAGTATTTGAGTAGCATTGTATTCTTCTCTGTCCCAAACTCTATATCTAAACTGTTTGGATTCACTGTTTAAGAAACCAAATAGATTCCCATTGTTAGGAATACTTGTACCTCTGTGGTTTGTTGCTTTCTTCTAACCAACATCTAATCTTTATCTCCTTTCGTGCCCTACATGCACTTCCCACATTTCCCCATCGTATTATATATGTAGGTATTTTGGTTCTATCTGAAAGAAGTATTTAAAAAAATATTATACCTAGTGGAAAATTTATAATTTCTATATAAATTTCTCATAGTCTTCTATTTTTAGTTTTTGTTTGAGTCAGGACCTATATAAAGTTCATAATTTTCAGTTATTCTAGTTTTTAAGTCTCTTAATCTAAAGACTGTAGTTTCCTTAATCTGTATTTCCTTTTTCTCCCCACTTTACTTTTTAAATTGTTTTCTCCAGTCCAAATTTTGTACTCTACATTTGGAGGTTGGGTAAGGAGACCAGATGAGATTCAGGTTCATGGTGGAGGAGAGAGGAGTAAACACAGAACTGCTTCTCGGGTGGAATTGTATTTTTACATGAGGAGATAGGTAATAGCAGGGCTTTTTTTTTTTTTTTTTTTGCACTTAATATTTCAAATTTTTCAATACTCCACAAGTTTTGCTATTCAGTATTGATTTATAAAATGTTTATACCCATTTGATTCATTGTATATTTATTATATGTAAGTATGATGTCCAGACACTCAGAATTGTCAAATCTGACTTTTGTTTATAGATTTAAAAGTATTCTAATTTCTTTTTTTTTTAATTTATTACTTTATTAGTTAATATTAAGAAGAAAAGGTAAAACAAATTTTCACAACAAAATAATGAAAAAGTAACAATTGTTAATAAATTACACAACATTATCTTTAGTCACTCAAGTACCAAATATGGGCATAAAAATTTCTTCAATCAATATTAGCACAACCTTTCCTATTCAGTGAACTAAGTGACACTAATGGTATAACTAACTTGCATTTTTTTCTTTTCCCTTCTATCCTTTCTCTTTTCCCCTATCTTAGTTTCTTCTTTTTATTGAACAGTTTCCTCCCATTTCACAGTGACTATTGTATATTTTGAATCTTATGGTTTCACATATGTCACTGTGGTGTGATGTTTTTCAATCCTTCTGGGAAGATACACAGAAGGGGAATACCTGGGTTGAATGGGACCTCTAATCCTAATTTTTTGAGGAATCTCTACACTGATTTCCACAGTGTTTGTACTAATCTACTCTCTAACCAACAGTTGTAAAGGGTTTCTTTTTCCCTACAGAACCAGGAGCATTTTTTATTGGTTGATACATTTTTTAAAAAATTAAATGATTTTTTAATGAATAAGGGAGATAAAAGGGGGCATAACAACATAACAATACAGGTTAAAGCATAACACTTTCAGCAACCTAGTGCTTCACCACCAAATAACCCGACTTAGTTTTTACCTTTAGTAGTTACCATAGTGTCTTTTTCTTTGAAATATTTGAATATAACTTCATATGCTATAGCATCAAATATATCAAGACTGTGTATCAGGGTGTCTTTATGATTTTATGTTTTACATTAAAATCTTTGCTTTAGTTGGAATTTATCTGGATAGAGTACTGCATGAATCCCACATTATGTTTTTCTAGATGGATACCGAGTTATCTCAACACCATTTGTTGAATAGGCCATCTGTTCCTCACTGAAGATACCAGCTTTATCAAATTCCTGCATATATTGAATGGGTTTCTAGACTCTGAAATGAAGTTATTGGTCTTTATTTACTAGTACTATACTAATTATTGAATAAATTAGAATAACTTGATAAATTGGAATAACTGGAAGGGATAGACATCCTCTAGTTGTACTCCAGACCAAAAGTTATTATTTATTTTCTTCTCTATGAATTTTTTTTTCTGTATGAATTTTAGAATCTTAAGGAAAAACAAGCATTTGTATTTCATCATTCAACAGAGTTAAGGTCTTTTTATGGTGTTGCCATTTTCTGCCTAATTCTATACATGTCTTTCTAGTTAAATCTTCTTTTAAATCCTCTCAGCATTGTTTGAATTTATTTAAAATATATCAAGATAACTGCCCTAGTTGATTTTCTAGTGCTAAAACAGATTGTCCCAGAAGGGCGATATATAAGGAAAAGAAATTCATTTAGCCCACAGTTTTGAAAAGTCCCAGATGTCTGGTAAGGGCTTTCATGCTCTGTTGTCCCATGACAGAAGAGGATACGGGCAAGTGAGCCCATGCAAAAGGGTTAGCATACAACCTGCAGGCTCTGTAACTAACGCATTGTCTGATAGCTATCTATTCACCAGGGGGCCGTGTCTACAATCCCAGCATCTCCCACTAGGCTCCACCTCCCAGCAGCACTGCACTGAAGATCATATGAATTTGGGTCCCTCACCCAAACCATACTAGTGACATGTACTACTTACCAAACGTTAAAAGAGCCCTCAAAATATAAAAGACTAAACCCTTAGTTATTAACCATGTTTGGGGTATAGAGCCCTTAAAAAAAAAAGGTAAAAACTATAAAGCTTTTCCTAAGAAAACACATGTGCATGAGCTGTTTTACCGTTTCAGAGAAATTCCTAAAATCCTTTGGTTTTTAGGTAAGCAGTTGCTATCTTAGGCAGACAGGAAATTACATTTTGCCTTTTGATTGAGTATTTGATAGCTGCCTTCAGAGTGCCATTGTATGGTTGTGGTACTGTTTAGACAAAACACTTAATTGGTAAACATGTAACAAGGCTAGACATCAGCTGTAGAAAAAAAATAAGTTTACAAGTGCTTTTAAATTGGAAGGATCATACTGTGG